ACAAGGTAATACTAGATATAGTTAGATTAGGAGGCAGAAGAAACAAGACCAGGTAAAACATATAAGTAGGACATATGAATACGATTTACAGAAGACAGTACTCTTGGCATTTGGGATGCTACATTAAGTTCAGTAGGTATCCTTGTCTGTGTAGTGGTTTAATGTGTGCCATGACTGCAAGTAGTTGCCAAGGTAACTGCATGCAGGCATGCAGCAGACATGCACTTAGATGCTATAAGGGTAACCGAGTAAAGTTAGTAGTATTAAATTAGATAGTATATAGTACTAGTTATAATCGATCCTAAAATGTAACTATAAATTTGTACTATATCAAATTAAGGCTAATAAAAACCGACTAGCATTGTCACCAAAGTTCAAAAAAAAAAAAAAAATAAGAAGTTAAGAAGGTCTCTCTGTTGTAACAATACTAAAAACATATTTAAATGAGTTATTAATAAATTATTAAGAATTTTTGTAACTTTTTTTTTTTTTTTGCTTATACTAAGGTCATAGTTATCAATAGCTATTGCCTTTATTGTATTTTAATTATGATTACATAACTTGTATAAGGTGAATATACAACTAGCTACATATACAACTTTTGGTTGTCTATTTTAAGTAGTCTGCCTGCATAGCAGGTTCTACATAGCTGCCATACTTGCAATCTACTAGAAGATTACCTATTTAAACACTCTGATTCCTATACTTATATCAACAAATAGTGCACAAGTTTCTGTATATCTAAGTGTTATCTAACCTAACTGTGACCTTTCTGTCTGTACATCTGTCAAGCTATTACATATTTCAGAATACATCACCTGATTGTAGGACTTCAGAAGGTCTTCTTGCTAACTAACTATTCATATTTAGTCTCTTGTTAACAGGGCTTTCTCTTGCAGAGTTCATCTAGACTTCAGTATCAACTTTATAACATATCTCTAGTATTTATAATATACTACTGTTTTTAACCTTAGACTTCCAATTCAGATAGCCTGATAGGACTATGAACTGTTCCTAGTATTCCAGAGTCTGCCTTTTAAAGTTCTTTTTCTTTAATTTGAAACTTCTGGCAGTCTGATTGATGGTATTCCTTACCTAAGGTTCTTGTTTACCTGATTTCTTTCACATTGGTATCTGTTTTCTAGGTCTAGTCTTTATAGTAGTACTGTCAAAGATCTGTGCTACTTTTTTACTTGAATCTTTCCAAGTAGGCTTCAGTTTCTCAGTTCATAGATTTACACAACCATGAGGACTTATCTTGGGTTTGCACTGCTTAATGCTGGTTTGCATTCCTCTGTGTAACTTCAACATTGTGCAGATGCCTTATGACCTGCCAGTTATCTGATATGACTATGTTACAGATACTGATCCCAACTGATTGACAGAGTGCTATTGCTGTAATACTGCTTACCTTTTATAATATCGATATAACATAGATAGTTTTTTAAATTTTTATTATTGGTAAGTTTTGAACTTCCAATTTATCAATTGGGAGGTTGACAACTTAACCACTTCACTAAGTCATCACATCTCTAATTTTTGTAACTTAATAAGATAAAAATCTGATTTATTTATAATTAAAATTATATATATTATTATAAAATAGATCTTTTTTAATAATTATTTAGATCAAGTTTATACTAAAATTAAATTAAAAACACTAATTTCAAAGTAAATAATATTAATAGTTTTATACTAAGTAAACTTGTTGTTAATAAAGTTATATGATATACTAAAAAATAAATAAAACTTGAGTAGTTTTTGATTTAGCTTAAGCTTTTTGTTTAGTAAACTTCTTTACTTATTTAGTATTTAAATTAAAAAAATATTTTAAAAGCAAATAAAGACAAAAATTGTTTTTTAATTAAGAATATTAAAAGCAAAAATAAATAAATAAATAAATAAACTCTTTTTAACTTAAATTCTTATAATAATAAAATATATCTTTTATATTTTTTGTTTTTTTATAAAAAATGAAAATTTAACTTATTTTTTCAAAAAATCAATATTATATATTATTTTTTTTATAATTACATATTTATTTAAATATAACAAATAAGAAATACAACAAATATATAGATTAACCAATTATATAAAGCAGATTAAAAAAATTTAAACTAGAAAAATCAAAAATTTATTGAGATATATAAATATACTAAGACTATGTATATAATATTTTTTAAAATAATAATTACTAAAAAATGCATAGCATTGTATGTCTAAAGCTAGGATGTTTAGAATTAAGCAAAAGCATAATATATGCATAATTTAACAAATTTTTGCATTTGTGAATGTTTCACATAATTGGACAAAAAAGCATACTTATTATATAGATCAAATATGATTGGTTGATATAGATATTAGAAGTACTGTATATTATTTTAAACTAGTAATACTTAATTGCAATTATTAATAAGCTCATGATTGATAGCCAATTAGATATGCAGAAACAAACAAACAGAATGTATGTAATATTATTAATCAATAATAGACATAAAAACAGAGTGTCATCTGCTATGCTTTAGACAATAAGAGTTTATAAAGAATTAGATTATTTAAGTATAAGATTCTAAGACTTAGTATAATATTTTAACTATTTAAAGATTTCTTTTATATAGAAAATATTAGTCTAGTATTCAAATCTCATAAATAACAGAAATTTATAAAATTAATCTGATTTGTTAATTAGTTAGATTTATAAGTTTAAAATATTAGATATATCAAATTAGATCTTACTTGTTATTAAAAGTTTAGGACATCTATATAAAGTATAACATTATATATATATAAAAGAATATTAAAAACTAGTATTATATAATACTTTAATACAAATTCATAATAAGACTACTAGATGCAAAAACTAAAAAACTAAAAGGAAAATTCTATTTTCATCTGAGTAAGCATTACCCATTAGCCACAGTGGCATATAAAGATCAGCCGATCATATGACTCACATTTAACTGTAACCAATAAAATTTTATTATATGAATAAAAGTGCTAACCAACTAAATCTTGTTCATAGTATATCAATATATGTATGTATATACATATATACATATATAACTGCCACTTTGCTATGTATCGTCTTGGTCACAGTCACATGACCACTGACATTCTTATGTGCAAAAACTTTTTATTTCATACTACAACTATATAAATTTCCTATAAAAAAACCTAGGTACTATAGTTAGTAACATGTAGTACTTCTAATTTGTAAAGTTTCATGCTTTGTATGATGTGATTAGAGCATGAAAGTATATACAAGTTTATATGCAAGTTTATCAGAAGTTTATAATTTGCATAATCAAAACAAAATAAAAGTGCAGAAGTAAAAAAAAAGTGTTAGTCTTTTTTTTTTGCAAGTTAAAGACAATTAGTAATAAAAAAGTCAATAATATATTTTATTTTATACACTATATTTGACCAAATGAATATTATTGTTTTTATATAATGATGTTTTTTAAGCTAGATAAAGTTATAATTACTGCTATTATGATACTACATATTAATATGTTTGGTGACTTTTTATTTTCATAATGAATTCTTTTTTCAATGAAAAAACTAATTCTTGCATTAAACTTGATACTGAACATGATATTAGTCTTGATAATAGTTACTATGCTAATGTTAATGAAACAATTCAATAAATACCTTTAAACAGTAATCATCTATCAATAGTAGTTAGGCAGACTTTTGCTACTTGGAATGATGTTATACAACATATTAATGCCTATGCTATCGAACAAGAGTTTGCAATGAGACTTAACTGTACAGAGAAAAGCTTGGATGTCACTATTAGAGCAAAAATTGTTTGTCATCATGCTGTTATCACAAATAGTAAAAGCACTAGATTATGAAATACAAGAAGTATTGCTATTGGTTGCCTATATAAAATAATCATCCATTGGTCAAAAGCAGAATATTATGTAAAATATATTAATCTTGAGCATAATCATCTGATAGATACTGCTGTGGCTGTTTTTGACTCTAGTTATCACAAATTAAGCAATAGTAAAAATAATCAAGTGCTAATGCTTTATAATAGTGGAATACTGGTGCCAATAATTATTAGAATATTAAATAAAGAGTATAGAAGATACATTCATAATAAGGATGTATATAATTTATTAAATCATTAGTCTCATAATTGTATTAAAAGTTTATCTAAAATATCACAACTCTTAAGTAATTTATATAATAAAACTGAATATTTAGTTACTTATTCAGTTAAGAACAATAAACTTCATTGCCTATTTTTTTCTACATATTCGCACTTATGAGATTTGAAAATTACCCAAAGGTTGTGCTAATGGATTCTACATACAAGACCAATCATTTTGAAATGCCACTCTTTCTTATTAGTAGTGTTAATGCTATGATAATACTTTTTTTTTTTTTTTTTTATTCGTATTATGCATATTTTTAATAATATCATGGTTTATAGGGTATTACATTTCTTATTGCAACTGGGCTTCTTGCTAACAAAACTGCATCAACTTTTTATTAGATATTTCAACAACTAAAGCAAGCAGCTAGTAATACAGTTAATAGAATTCAAATGATTTTAACTAACAAAGATCTTGCCTTATTATCTGCAATTCGAGCTAAAATGTTACATGTCAAGTACCAAATATGTACCTGGCATGTAAAACAAAACATTGTTAGGAATTTAAGTAGTAAACTTAAAGAAAAATTTGTAGCATTTAGTAAAGATTTCAAAATAGTGATGACTAAGAATACTGAAGATCAATTTAATATTAGTTGGAATAAACTGATAACTGAGTACTCTGAGTCTAGCAATTATATAGAACAATGAAAATATATTGTTTACATGTGGGCATATTGCTATATTAACAAATATATTAATTATAATATAAAGACAACCTAGCACTCAAAAGCAAATAACGCATATTTGAAACATCTTTTTGGATATATAGCACCTTTGCCTGAATTAATAACAATGTTAGAAAGATTATCTTATCACCAGTTTCAACATTCACAATATCAGCAATATTGCTTATTTGAAAGTATCTGCCAACAATGCACTGAGATGTTAAAAAGTGTCTCTACAGCTATATTAGATTTTATTTACTTATTATTGCTTGAGCAATATAATAAAGCCAAGGCTTATAATGTTTAAGAACAAGAAGAAAATCTAATTAGGATTTTTAATAAAGATTATAAACATACAGTATATCAAAATAAAGTAGAATTAGTTTGTTGTTGTGACTATAACAAACAATTTTTATTACTATATTGTTACATTATAGCTGTTCATATTATTTATAAGAAGTCTTTAAGTATTAATTATATTGGTTTTTATTAGATTATTAAACTAAATAATACTACTAATATAATGCAACTTGAAGAACAATCTGAACAAGATAATATAAATAATAATAATCTTTTAATTAATGTTTTGTCTTCTATAGCTTTTGAAAATACTGATTAATCAGAAATTAACAGTTAGAAGTACTGCTGATTTACTTAAAAAAATCGAAACAATTTCTAATAGAATTGGTCACATTGAAATTAATAGTAGCCTGGCTAATTTTGTGGATTAATTAAATGAAAAATATCTTTTACTATAAGCTGATATACAAGATTCAGCCAATATCAAGACAAAGGAAAGACCAGGCAGTACAAAATACAATAAAACAGGTGCAGAACATACTTATAAGAGAGCCTACATATGTGACATTTATAATAGCACTAGACATAACTCTAAAAGTTGTTTATCCAAGATACGTAAAAGATGTTTAATGTATGTTAATATGCAAGGCTTACTATTACTGTTACTAAAGTATTTTATTTAATTGCTATTATAATAATAAGTGAAAATAAAGTGATGGGTTTAAAATGTTAATATATTATATAGACTAATTTAAATAATATAGTGCACTTGAATAAGATTAAGGAATAGTTTATGACTTCTTATAGATTGTGGTCTAAGTTGGAAATTGGAATTCTTATGTATATACATATTTGTTTGAAAAAATAATCTAAATTCAAAGCATGTGTTTTATTTTAGTTAAGAGTATTAAACTCAAAACTAATCAAATATTCAAATATGCTAAATATATTGTAAAGTAGATGTTTTTATATATATAAACAATATAATTGTTAATTGACAAATGAATTAGGAAGAATCATGTTCTAATTTCTGATTTCAAATTATTGTACAATCAAAATGCCTTATAACACTTTGCAAAAAGATGTGGTTATATAATTTTCATAATAATAATCAAAAAATTTTAAGATTTTAAATTGTCTGTTACTTTATATTTTTTTATATTTTCAATTAGTTACATTTATATTTCTTTGAAATTATTAAAATTTTAAAATTTATAAAATTACTAATTTTTATACAATATTGTGATCTGCCAAGACTACATCTTTTTACAAAGCACAATAATATACTATTTGAGATTTTAGCTAATTCCCAATTAGTGAGTTTGCATTATAACTTCAATTTACAGATATATATATATGTATATATATACATACTATATAATAATTTATTTAAATAGTACATATAGCTTAATACTGAAATTTTATTGACCGAAACTGTAGCAGTAGACTGTAACCAAGATGAAGTATATACTTAGCAATTATGTAAACAAAATTAGTTAGTTAGCACTTTTATTCATATAATAAAATTTTATTGATTATGGTTAAATGCAAGTCACATAATCAGCTGATCTTTATATGCCATTGTGGCTAGTAGGTAACACTTACCTAGGTAAAAATAGAATTTTCCAAACTAAAAAGATAAAAGCTTACTTAGAATTTTTAAGTAAAAAATAATATAAACTTTTAACAATGCTATTAAACTAATAAAAGTTTTCAAGTTATTTTAAAAAAACAGGCAGATAAATCAAATAACAAAGTATATAAGAAAAGCATTAGAATTATTAAAAAAAAAAAATACAGACATTTTCAAAAAAAAAACTCTCTCTTGCAGATCACTCGACCAAAAACTGATAAGAAGCAAAACACAAAAAAACTGCAAAACCAATTAGGAAACAGTACTTAAACCCTTAACAAAAAAAGAAGAGCAGTAAAAGTTATACATAACTAGGAAACAAAGACACAAAAAAAAAGTGTAGCAATAGCACAGCTTGGAAAACTTAGAAATTTTAACAAAAACAAAAAATTTTTTAGAAAATTTTGA